GATTCTCGTGCCTCAGCCTCCTGAGTAGCTGTGATTAAAGGCATGTGCCACCATGCCTGGCTAATTTTTTTTTTTTTTTTGTAATTTTAGTAGAGATGAGATTTCACGATGTTGGCTAGGCTGGTCTCAAACTCCTGACCTCAAGTGATTCTCCTGCCTCAGCCTCCAAAAGTGCTGGGATTATAGGCGTGAGCCACCAGCCCCGGTATAAGGAGCCTCTTATACCACTGTCTCTTCCCCTCTGATTGGGAGGCTCCATGCCTCTAGCTGGGATTATAATGTCCAGACATGGGAGGAACCCCAGGGCTACCCACCTCTAAAGGTCAGAGGGCAGGAAGAAGAAACAGTCACCAGGACTGGCCCTGAAGGGTGCTGGCATCCCTGCCCCCAGGCTGGAGCTGCCTTTGGCCTCACACCTCCCTTTCCCCAAGGCTGGCTGCCGCGCCTCCCAGCCCTTCCTTTGGATGGTTACCATCTCCTTCACCTCGCTCAGCTTCTTCTCCTGCAGCTCCTTTACTTGCTGCTCCAACTGCAGTGCGCTCTTGTTCTCACTGTTCTGGACAAAGAGAAGCAATCAGCAGCCACCCACTGCAGCTGGAGACCCCAGAACTTGATGTCTGCCTCCCATGTCACGGGGAAGGGTGTAGGCAGGTTAGAAAAATCATCCCCTCTCTCTCACAGTCATCAGAGCAGGGCTCTGGCTCACAGGTTCCTTTAGAAGTACCATTTCATGTGAGGGCTGCATATGCCCATTTTACAGGTGGGGAAACAAAGGCATGGAGGGCCAGGGAGGAGGGCAGGCTCCCGTGGTGGGGCAACCCACCAGCTCCTGGAAGTCGTACTGTGCCTCGCCCAGCTGCTCGCCAAGCTCGTGGTCCTGGGAGAGCGCGTGGCTGATGGTGGTGCAGTCATTCTGCATGGTATGCGTGTGTGTCTCTGCCTGCTCGTCCCAGAGCTTGGCTTTCTGCTCCAGTTCCAGCAACTTCTCCTCCTGCTCTCACAGCCTCTTCTCCTGCTCCCTCAGCCTCTTGTCCTGCTCCCACAGCCTCTCCTCCTGTTTCCTCAGCCTCTCCTCCTGCTCCAGCAGCCTCTCCTCCTGCTCCAGCAGCCTCTCCTTCTCCAGCAGCCTCTCCTCCTGCTCCAGCAGCCTCTCCTTCTCCAGCAGCCTCTCCTTCTCCGGCAGCCTCTACCTCCTGCTTTCTCAGCCTCTCTCCCTGTTCCCGCAGACCTTCCTGCTCCAGCAGTCTCTCCTCCTGCTCCCAAAGCCTCTCCTGCTCCCACAGCCTCTCCTCCCACTCCCACAACCTCTCCTGTTCCAGGACTATGTAGAACAGTTCTTTTAAAAACCAGACCATGGGCTTGGAAATGACTTCATCTTTACTGACTGAGTTGTATATTGAGCCTACCCCTTGCCCTTTTAAGGGGCACTGTGTGGAATGGCCTGGGCTCCCCACATCGAAACTTCTCATCTTCACCATCCAGTCCTCGAGCTGCAGTGTGGGCTCCGAGCTCTGCGGCCAGTGCTCGCTCCCCACGGTGCCCCCAACTCACCCACAGCAGCTGACTCAGCCCCAGGCTGCCTCTAACAACCATACACAAAAGCAGCGAGAAATGAGCATGCTGCTTTCTGGGCAGGACACTGCATCCTGCAGAAGGGACCTTCAGGCTCACTCCTGCATCTGGGAAGCCAGGCTGCCAGGGGACGGGGCAGCTCATTGGACTCACCCTGTCCTCTTCCTGCTGCTGCATGGAGACAGCAGAGGGAGCCCGCTCCAACTCTCCAATACGCTGCAAGGAATATTGCAGGTGGCTGGTCAGATCCTTGGATTCTCCTGTAATGAAAGAGGTTGAGATGGGGCCCAAAGGACTCCCCCTAAACACCTGTCAAAGTGCTAGGTTGAAGGATAACAGGGTGCCAGATCCCCACCCTCGAAGGGAGTGGCGGCACGTTTAGTATGGTAAACTGTGGTCTTCAAGTCTGCCTTTTCCAACACGAGGATGTTGATTGTCTGGAATTGAACCTTTGGGAGAAAAGCCAAGCAAGCACTGAAAGAGAAGGAAAGAAATTCTTGGGAGGACAGGAGAAAACTCCACACCTTCCACTCACCCCTAACTGCTCTGCTTGTGCTTTGTGTATTTCCATAGTTTGCTTTCTTTTCCTATAGGAAGAGGAAGACCGAGCTCTTACCTGGGGGAGGCAGCGATGGCACAGCAAGAGACATGCCCCCAGCATGCCACCAATGCCCCAGGACAGGCCCACCCATGGGACCAGGTTACCGGGGGATAACCTGGAAGGATGGGTAGAATCTGAGGGGTGAGCCTTCTTCCCCAGGCTGGGAGTGGGCGACATGAGACTGGCACCTCTACATTTGAGTGCCTCCCAAATGTAGCAGTCATGAGTTCCCCCCAAACCCAGCATTTATATCGTGAGAAAAAAAAAACAAAACACCATGTTACTTCTTCCAGCTGATGTTCCACTTGTTTCTTCTGTTGTTTCTGTGGGGAGAGTCAAATTCAGGTGACTGAGGGGGGCCCCCTCACCTCTATTCCCCAGACCAGGAAGTGGTAGGTGGGGGCCAGGAATGGATTTTAAAGGCAAAGTTCTCAGGCCCAGTGGCAACACGAACTGGTCAACTCTCCTCAAGCTCCCAAAGACAGAGGATTTGGGTCTTTGTTGGTTTTCGCCAATAGCCACAGAACTCAAAATCTGAATCTGGATTCTCTCGAAAGGACAGTAACATAAACCTCTAGAGACGGAGTCTGAGAAAGGCCCACCCTTCTGCCAGCTTGTGATTTAGAAAGGTGTGTTCATTCAACAAACATTTACTGAGCACATACAAGCCAGGTATGGTTCTTCACAGCAGAGATACAGGACACAAAAGGACAGACGAGAGCCCTTGGCCCTGAGGTTTCCATTCTAGGGTCCCAAATCTCGGACTCTCAGAGCTAACAGAGACCTTTGATACTCTACCTCCTCTGGAAACATGAGCCCAAGGAGGAGAGGTGGCTTGTCCAGACTCAAGGGCAAATTAGAGACTGAGTCAGGGCAGAAATATGGGGCCCCTGACAACCAGTCAGACTAGTGCTTCCCTGAGAGGTGACAACCCCAGGGTGTGTGTGGCAAGGACTGGAGCAGGGATGTCTGAAGAAGAGAGAGTTGGCAAAGAAGGGAGTGACAGAAGAGCCATGCTGCATGCTCCTTGCTCTGGGGTCCCCCCAGGTGAGGCCTGGTTGCCCCAGCTCCCCATTTGCCCTTGGCACCAGGGTCCCTCAGCCCGTTTCTTCAGAGCCCCAAGGGGAAACTAAGGCCCAAGATTGGCAGTGTGGAATCAGGAGACCCCACTGGACTCTTACAAATGATTCTATGTTTTCATTGAGTTGATTGATTGTTGCAGAGCTTGAGTCCAGGGCTACTTCCAGTTCTTGGTACTGGCTCTGAGGCGCATGCAGAGAGGAGGAGTTGGAAGAGGACTGTGGGGAGAGGTAGAGAGAACAATCATTAGGGCTGGGGTGTGTGTGGACTGTCTCAGCTGGCAGAGGGGCACCCAGCTCCCGCTGTGAGAGGAGGTTGGACGGCTGGCCTGCAGGGTCACTGCACCCTGGCCCAGGGCCTCTTACCTCCAGATCCTTCAGGGTAGCAGATGATGCAGGGGTAATAAAAATGAGAAATTCAAAGAAACAAAAACTTACATGGGAAACATCTCTATATGGATACAGAGAAAGTATAAAAACAGCAAGAGACCATGCACGGTGGCTCACGCATGTAATCCCAGCACTTTGGGAGGCTGAGGTGGGTGGATCACTTGAGATCAAGAGTTCAAGACCAGTCTGTCCAACATGGTGAAACCGCGTCTCCACTAAAACTACAAAGATTAGCTGGGCGTGGTGGCAGGTGCCTGTAATCCCAGCTACTCAGGAGGCTAACGCAAGAGAATCGCTTGAACCCGGGAGGCAGAGGTTGCATTGAGCCAGGATTGCACCACACCACTGCACTCCAGTCTGGGTGACAGAGTGAGACTCTGTCTCAAAAACAAAACAAAACAAAACAAAAGCCCCAAATCCCACATACTTTCTCTGTGCATTATTCCCAAATTACTTTTAAATTTTAAGGTATGACTCACCATTTCCAAGATGATAAAAGATGCTGGGAAGGAAAAATCCCAATCAATCAAGCAGGTGAAGAGGCAGACATAAACAGGCTGAAGGTTAATTTCCAAGATGATAAAAGATGCTGGGAAGGAAAAATCCCAATCAATCAAGCAGGTGAAGAGGCAGACATAAACAGGCTGAAGGTTAATGGCAGCAACATAAAATAAGCCAGAGGCAAAGTATCCCCCAAACCAGAGAAGTCTCAGAAACATGCACGGCTGGAGACAGCAAGCCAGAGAGAGGTCTGGGCACTGCCTCACCTTCCACTGGTGCATTGGGGAGCACTACGCCACTGGAATGGTTAAGGTTGGACACCAGCCCTTTCAGAATGTCCTGAATCTACAGGAGGTGACAAGAGAAAAACAAGGGCAGGGGAAGAAAGACAGAAGTAGCTTAGAGAGAAGCAAGAAAGTCAGGGTAGGAGGAAGACGTGGGTTCAGGAAAACGAAATGCTGAAAAAGAGCAGAGGAGATTGAAACCATGGCCTGTGCCACTCTTCCAAATAGCCACCTGCTGCCTTGCCAGGGGCAAGAACAAATAGATATGTCACAGAGTGGAGTCACCTGACCAATGCAGCTCTTAATACGCTCACTGGACCCCTTTCCTCAGACCCAGGACA